AGAACGAATCGGCCTGGCAGGCGCTCCTGGGGTTCGCTGCCATGGCTGGCGATGACCGGTTGGTCTTGACAACTAGGCTCAGTTGGGGCGACGGAGTTGGCGGCGCCGTGGAGCGCGCACTCACCGGGCAACTACGCAACGACAGGGCAGCGACCACGCGACGACGAAATGGCAGACGTCGAGAACCCCGGCATAGATACCAGGCTGAACGCAGGGGGACACCACCAGCAAGCACCGCCTGTTCCAGAACGAACGGATCCTGCTCGCCTACTCTCCAGAGCAGAGAGAGAGACCGCCTCAGACGAGGTTCGCGCTGTCAGGCGAAGGATAGCGACAGCGACCCCCCCGCCCCCGCTACAGCTGGAGTGCCATCTTAGTCACCTACATATGGGACTCTGCTACGGCGGCTGGGAGGAACCGCCTTTCACAGACCTGATGGACTTGGCCATGCTGGCGCTCGACACCGCCGCTGAATACTGGAACGAAATGGGCGTGCGCTCGATCGAATCTGCCCGCGGTCTGGAAGCACGCGTACTCCAGCGCCGTTCCGTAACTGGGCGCCCCGCTCCAGTCCTTCGCCTTGGGGGCTACATTGACAGAGCGGCACAGCAAATCATGATGGGCCACCTGGATCCTGACGGCCACCTCCAATTGTCAGTGTTATCAGGTGATCGGGGCGCAGTGGAAGCGGGCGCGGCCGCCCGCGCCAGGGCCGCGCCATGCCTACCACCTGGCCGCGTGGATATCAGCCCGGGGTCGCAAATGGCAGGACCCATGGCGCGGCGCCCCTTGGATGGCGAACATTCTCGCGCGCGACTCACCATTGCAACGACCCGGACAGGATGAGACAGCGCTGCGCCATGGACACCCCTTTTGGAACGCATCCACCTGGACAGGCGCCACAACGAGCAATCAGGAAGACGCGCCCCGCAACCTCCCTTGGACACGAGCTCACTGAACCCAAGAAAGGCTAGCTCACTGAAAGACGAACTGCGCGAGTCTCACATGGACACGCGCAGCGCGGGGCAGGTGGGCTGCATGGGCTCTTTGACACTGTATGCGACCAACTTCTTGGGCCCTGCTCATGCCTCTTCTCGCCGCCCGGCGCATCGACTCCGGACCTTTGAGGTCATTAATACTTGGCTTGTCGCATTTGACGCCCACGCGCCTCGGCAACTGCCATGCTGTCTGCAACTTGCCACTGGGCAAACGGCAGACGCCTTCAACATGTAGGACAGCCTCTGCCCGCGGGCTCCCCATGGCGCCCTGATTCGCATGGGTCTCGCGGCAGCCGCGGGTGACGTTTGTGCCGTCTCAGACCCCGCTGCCCTCCTAGAAGCCCACTGCGCAGCGGCGGCTGCAGCCGCGCCCGCGCTTTGCCCACGCACCTCTGCCCCGCGCGCAGCGAGTGGCGAGTCCGACCCGAACTGCTGTCTAGTTTGCCGGCGCGAGCTTGGCACGGTCGGCAGCGCTTTGGTTTTTGTATGTGGACAGTGCTTCCACGAGCCCTGCCTCCGACGCCGGCGCGGCTCCCAGCCAGACGTCTTCGACCCGGGTGGTCGCGCGGCAGTTGATCACCATCGCTTCCAAAAAGGTGTCCCGCGGTGAACTGCGGTAGCGTAGTCGTTCGCACTGTTCCAGCGCGCACCGCCGTTTCGGACGCCGGCGGCGACGCATGGATGACCGACCCCAAGGACCTGCCCAACCTGGTCCCAAGACCGATTCCGCAGAAACTAGTAGCGGCCGTTAGTGTTCTGGGAGCGATGCAGCTGGCGGGCCTCCGGGCACCTGCAGGCCCGCGCGACGGCCCCGGCAGCCATCTCACCGACAATGGCCGGAACGCCATCAGCGCCGGAATCCGCGAAGACAGAATTGCAGCCGCTGCCGGCAACACAACGGGCATAATGGAGGCAGACTTGGGGCGCTCCGATAGTGACCCGTCTATCAGGAGCCGACTCCGCCAGCTCCCTACCATCGCGCAATAATGATGGCCGGCCTTATTGGCACGCAACCCACCACTGCCTGAAAGAAGTTGCGGCCCCCCGACCTTCCCTCTGCGCCTTGTCCGCGCGGCAGTTAAAAACGCTAGAGGGCCTCGCAATCTTCCCAGGGCATTCATTGGACAGTGCGACGCTGACAGCGCTGATACCACCTTCGCAATTCCTGGTCCGCAGACATACTCCATGATTCAGGAATTGGTGCTGAACCATGGCGACGGGTCTGGTCCCACAGTTCTTCCTCCTCCTCCTCTTCCTCCTCCTCTTCCTCGTTTTCCTCCCCCTTCATGATCATTTTCTTTCATTGCTCATCGTATCCCTCCTCCTCCGTTCGTGGCGGATTGGTAAAAATATTCCCTTTGCGGCGGCCTTGCCAAAAGATTCCTTTTGAGGCGGTCGCGCAAAAGGATTCCCTTTGTGGTGGCTCTACAAAAGGATCAACATGATCACTTGCTTAAAAGAATTACAGGTAATGGTTTCTTATCAGGACCATGTGAAAACAGGTATTCCAGATATTTGTTGAAGGTTTTGGTAAGGAACCCATGTGAAAACACAGGTATTCCAGATACGTTTGAAGGTTTTGGTGAGGAAACCTTGTGAAAACATAGGTATTCCAGATAATTGTTGGTTTTCTGGAGAGGCGCTCTTCCTGTTGCGCCCCCCCTTTTCCCCCCGCGCCCGTTTCCAGAAAACAAGAAAATATATGGAATACCTGTGTTTTCAAAGGGTTTCCTCACCAAAGCCTTCAAACATATCTGGAACACCTGTGTTTTCACAAGGTTTCCTTACCAAAACCTTCACACATATCTGGAATACCTGTGTTTTCACAGGGTTTCCTTACCAAAGCCTTCAAACATATCTGGAGTACCTCTGTTTTCGCATGTACTCCTGCCTGGCGCGTCGCCCTTGGGGGGTGTGGAGTTGGTGAAGGAGCAGGGGGAGGGACGCCTGTCTCCAGAAAACCAGAATTTATCTGGACTAACTGTGGTTTCACAAGGTTTCCTTACCAAAACCTTCAAACATATCTGGGAAACCTGTGTTTTCACAGGGTTTCCTTAGCAAAAGCTTCAAACATATCTGGGACATCTGTGTTTTCACAACGTTTCCTGCCTGGCGCGTTGCCCTTGAGGGGCGTGGAGTTGGCGCAGGAGCAAGGTGGGGGCCACGGTATGGCAGTACTCGCAAGGAGTCGGAGGATGGGGAGGAGGAGGACGAGGAGGAGGAGGAGGAGGAAGAGGAGGAAGAGAAGCAGGAGAGGGGGAGGAGGACAAGGAAGAGGAACGGATAACGAGGAGGAGATGGAGGAGGAGATGGAGGAGGAGGAGAACACGATCAATTGGCGTTGTTGTTGTTTTTGGGTGGTTTGGGGGTGCTGGGGGGCGGGGGCGACCATATATATATATATATATATATATATATATATATACCCACCAGGCTCGCTGGCCCTGGTCCGCGGCCACCGAGCTGGAGCCACCAGCGCAGACTGAGTGGGCCACCGCGAGAATACAACTACCGCGGGACGGACATCTCAAGCGGCCCGACCTGGAGGACCTATTCCACCATGCAGCACGGAGTCGCACCACGCGCCCAGGGGGAGACGACTCGGTGTGCAACACACATTTGGATGCCATACAGTCGGACATGGACTACTGCCTCCCCTGGCACGCCGACGCGGGTGCCACGACTTGACGACAGCACGAAACGAACGACGTCGTCCCGCCCCACTCGCACCGCCTGCCATTTGCCTCGCCCACGCAATCGTGAGCCGAGCCGCCCGCACCATGCACTACAGAGTCGGAGCCTGCCGCGCTGGCCTCCTCCTGATCCGCGCGCCAGAACGGCTCGCGGCGGCGATATTTTTTGGCACCTTCTGGACGACGCGCCGCAAACGATTCCGGGCAGCGCATATCACAGTGCCACACCACCGAGACGCCCGCTCCTCATAGGCAATTGGGGCGGCGGCCCTACTCCAGCGAGGCTCGCCGACCCAGAGCAAGGGTTCCACATGGGATGGAACGTCGCTGACCTGGGGTTCCTCCTCCTCCTCCTCCTCCTCCTCCTCCTCCCTCTCCTCCTCCGCTCGGCTTAGAGAGTCGAGCGAGGGTGGCAGCGGTGGTGATGGCGATTCTCGGCAGCTCGGATCGGCAGCAGCGGTGGATGATGACAGTGATCGATCGTGCCCCGTGAGAGGCGCTCAGCAGAGTCCAGCAGAGTCCTCCCTCCGCCCGTCGTCGACGGCGATTCTCCCCAGCCCGGACCTCTGCGCCCCTGCCCTTTGGTCGGGCCGCCCTCGCGATCATGGCCAGGCGCCAGCTCGAGAGACTGGCCAGGACGGACCCCAGGAGGAGGGAGGAGGGAGGAGGGAGGAGGGAGGAGGAGGAGGAGGAAAAGGAGGAGGAGGAGGGGCTACTTAGAGGCTCTCCTCGGAAAGGACCCGGCGGCTTCTGAGAAGCCTTGCGGCCTGGGGATTGTCGATGAAGGCCTGACGGCCGGTGCCGCCGACCCTGAAGGGGCACGACAACAACGCTGAACAGGACGGACTTCAGGGGGGTCAGAGGGGATCGATTTTGAAAGGAGTTTCGGGCGACGCCCTGTGTGTGGTCGCCGTCTAGGTTCGTCGTCGTTGCCGTCGTCGCAGGCCAGTGTGGAACCCAGGGGAGACCCCAGGAGGGGTCTGGGGATCGATTTTGAGTGGGGGTTCGGGCGAAACCGTTTGCGTGCTGGTCGTCGTCGTCGTCGTCGTTTGCGTTTATGTCTTCGTCGTCATCGTCGTCGTCTTCGTCTTCGTCGCCTACGTTCGTCGTCGTCCTCTGTCGTTCTCTCTTCGCCCATTTGTGGGGCGTTCGCTTCTGCTGCAGGATGCCCCGAGCCGCATCTTGCTCTTCCACCCCTTCATCTTCCGAGGTTGCCAGAGGTGTTCCTGGTGCACGCTGGGCCTCCGTGGGGGTGCTCTGGGGGCCGTCGTGGCCTCCTTGCCCCTCCTGGCCTCCCTCCCCGCCCGAGGCATGACTATGCAAGGCATGAATAACCAGGGCGTGATGGTGCAGATCCCGATGCAGCAGGGCTGTGGGAGGCAGCAGCAAGGTGGCCAGCAGAACCAGATGATGATGATGATGCCCATGATGATGGGCAACCAGGGCTTCATGATGATGCCCGGGGGCCAGCAACAGGCCAGCAGCGCCGACGCTGTCTGATGGATGGCCTGCTCCCGGGCGAGGGGAGAGAGGGATCGGGAGGGGAAGCAGTAAGGAGGCAGGACAGCGGATGGAGGTGATGACAAGGCTAATGATGATGATGATGGCGGTGAGGGTGATGCTGATGGTGATGATGATCATGATGTTGATTATGATAATGATGGTGAGGGTGAGGATGAGGGTGATGGTGATGGTGCTGGTGGTGATGCTGCTGGTGATGATAATGATGATGCTGGTGGTGGTGATGAGGAGGATGATGATACTGATGATGGTGATGATGATTGTGGTGATGATGGTGATGATGGTGATGATGAGGAGGAGGATGAGGATGGAGCTGAGGATGTGGATATGAGGATGAGGATGGAGCTGAGGATGTGGATGGGGATAGTGACGAGGAAGGGGACGAGCATGACGAGGAGGATGATGGTTGTGGTGGCGATGATGATGGCGACGATGTCGATGACGAGGATGATGATGATGTGGGTGATGCTGATGCTCATGCTGATGATGCTGGTGGTGGTCGTGCTGGTGCTGAGGATGATGACGATGATGATGATGATGATGATGATGATGATGATGATGATGATGATGATGATGATGGTGATGTTGATGGTGATGATGATGCTGTTCAATACGATGATGATGGTGAGGGTAAGGGTGAGATGAGTCTGATCATGTGATGCTCGTGGTTGTGATACTGGTTATGCTGATCATGCTGATTGTGCTGGTTGTGATGATGAGGATGGTCATGATGTGATTGTGCTGGTGATGCTGATCATGCTGCTGCTTGTGATAATGGTGATGCTGGTGCTCATGTTGGTGATGCTGATGATCATGAGGATGAGTATGAGGATGAGGCTGACGATGGGGATGTGGATGAGGATAGGGAGGAGGAAGACAATGATTGTTGTGATGATGCTGATGGTGCCGATGCTGAGATTGATCTGATGATGTTGATGATGATGGTGTTGTCGATGTAGACATGATGACGATGATGCTGATGATGATGCGGATGATGATGATGATGATGATGATGATGATGATGATGATGATGATGATGATGATGATTATGATGATGATGATGATGATGATGATGATGCTGATGCTGATGCTGATGCTGACGATGCTTATGATGATGATGATGTTGGTGCTGACGATGATGATGAAGATGCTGATGCTGATGTTGTTGATGATGATGACGATATTGATGTTGATTATGGTGATGATGATGATGATGCTGGGTAGGCTGATGATGGTGATGATGATTATGCTGATGCTGCTGATGATGATGCTGCTGCTGATGATAATGATCATGATGCTGACGGTGGCGTGGTGATGGTGATAATGATGAGCAGTATGAGGAGAAAGGGGCGTGCCCTGGGAAGATGGAGGGAGAGGCAGGAGGAGGGAGCAGAAGGAGGAGGGAGGGCCAGCCCTTGGGTCAGCTCTTCGCCCAGACGAAACAACAACAAATTGCTCAAGAGGACTCCAAGATGGCCCAGGAGGGCCCCGCCCCAGAAAACCTTCGAAAAACTCGATGCTCGATACTCCTCATTAACTACCTATACGACCGCCCTGTGGGCGATAAGGAGGTTGGGGGGGGATGGAGATCAAATGCCCACCCTGACTGACCTCCAGCCTGTCACCTTGATCTCATCTCTCTCTTTCTCTCTGTCTCTCTCTCTCTTTCTCTGTCTCTCTCTCTCTCTCTTTTTTTTCTCTCTCTCTCTCTCTCGAGCCTCGCAGTCTGCCGCCATCGCGCACAGGGGCCGACAAAAATGAATTGATGGATTGGGTTGGGTGGATTGGATTGGATGGGATAAGATGGGTTGGAAAAGATAAGATGGGTTGGAATGGAAGAGATGTGCTGGATTAGATAAGATGGATGGGATTTGCCCGCCGCAGGCGCAGGAACAAATGAATTGATGGACTGGATTGGATGGATTGGATTGGGTGGGATAAGATAAGATGGGACAGTATGGGTTGGATAAGATAATATGGGTTGGATTGGACAAGATGGATTGGATAAGATAAGCTGGATTGAATAAGAAAGCCCGCCGCAGGCGCCGAACAAAAATCAATTATGAAATTAACGACATGCGTTAGCGCCGGGACGCCCGGGACACCCGCGGGACACCGCCCGGCCCAGCTGGGACACCTCCCCGCCACCGGCGGACGGGAAACGGACTTTCGCTCCTACTGACACCCGGGACACCCGGGACACCGCCCAGCCCAACTGGGACACCTCCCAGCCACCGGCGGACGGGGAACGGACTTTCGCTCCTACTTCGGCCTAGCTAAAGGAGGATCACGCGCAGCTTCGCCTCGCCCGCACGCACGACACGAACACGAAACCCAAACCGATTTCCCGGTGGGGGGTCTCCATTTCACTGCGATCTCACCCCCCAACCTCCGAAATTGGATTGGATTGGAAGAGATGGATTGGATAAGATAAGATGGATTGGATTGGCCCGCCGCAGGCGCAGAAACAAATGAATTGACGGATTGGGTTGGATGGATTGGATTGGGTGAGATAGGATAAGATGGGGCAACATGGTTTTGATGATACAAGATGTATTGGACTGGACAAGGTGGATTGGATAATACAAGCTGGATTGGATAAGAAGGCCCGCCGCTCGTCGACACATATTGAATTGATGGATGGGGTTGGGTGGGTTGGATTGGGTGGGATAAGATGGATTGTATAAGATAAGATGGGTTGGGTTGGAGGGAGCATATTTGATAAAATAAGATGGATTGGATTGGTCCGCCGCAGGTGCAGAAACAAATGAATTGATGGATTGGGTTGGGTGGATTGGATTGGGTGGGATAAGATAAGATGGGACAAGATGGGTTGGATAAGATACTATGGAATATATTGGACAAGATGGATTGGATAATATAAGCCGGATCGGGTATGAAAGCCCGCCGTTGGCGCCGAACTGAAATGAATTATGAAATTAACTACATGTGTTAGCGCCGGGACGCCCGGGACACCCGCGGGACACCGCCCGGCCCAACTGGGACACCTCCCCGCCACCGGCGGACGGGAAACGGACTTTCGCTCCTACTGACACCCGGGACACCCGGGACACCGCTCGGCCCAACTGGGACACCTCCCAGCCACCGGCGGACGGGAACGGACTTTCGTTCCTACTTCGCCCAGCTACAGGAGGATCACGCGCAGCTTCGCCTCGCCCGCACGCACGACACGAATACGAAACCGAAACCGAAACCGATTTCCTGGAGGGGGGTCTCCGTTTCACTGCGATCTCACCCCCCAACCTCCGATTCCCCCGTCCCCCTTGCGAGTCTGCACAGACATCGTTGGGAAAACCGCATTCGCTGCCAGCCGACAGATGGCGGGCGGCAGTGCGGGAGTACGTCGTTCTCTGCCCTTCCTTATTGCTCATGTGCGCAACGAAATACACTGGGTCCGCTGCGTCGACAATCGCGCGTGAGCTGCCCGCGTGAGGTCGCGCGTGAGCGCCCTCGCTTCCGATGCGGCGCGCTGCGCCGACAGCCCGCGAGGGCCGCCGCGCCAGGTCGCCATACCATCTCTCGCGAGACCCGTGTCCGTGTCGCTCAGTTGCCTGCTGCGCGCTCTGCGTTCCCTCGTCTTCCTGGCCCCCCCGCGCAGAATGTGATGATGCAGCCCATGCAGGAGAACGGCTGAGCCGGCGCGCGCTCCCGGCGGGCCGAGGCCTCGGAGGAGCAGAGGGGCGCCCTCGCCGCCGCGAGGGGGGGGGGGGAGGCCAGAGCGGGTGGCCACGGCCCCCGCCGGCGCGGGCACAGGCCCTCGTTTTCCTTGTCCCTCCACCTCCTGCTCATCCTCCTTTCCCTCCTCCCCCACCTCCTGCTCCCCCCTCCCCATCATCGTCAGCATCATCATTATTATTATCATTATTATTATCATTATTACTATTAGTATTATTATTATTATGATTATTATCATGATTATTATTAATATTATTATTACTATTATTATTATTAATACTAATATGATTATTATTATTATTAGTATTACTACTACTACTATTAGTATTATTATTATTAACACTATTACTATTATTATTATTATTATTATGATTCTTATTATTATTCGTATTATCATTATTATTAGTATTATTAGTAATCGTATTATAATTATTACTATTAATATTTTTATTATTATTACCATTATTATTATTCTTCTTCTTATTCTTATTATTATTGTTGTTATTATTATTTTTATCATCATCATCATCATCGAAAGAGCGTGTTCTACCGCTGCTGGCGGAAAACCGGGGGGGGTCACTACCGGTTCGAACCCCTCCCCCCACCCCCCTCTCCGGAAAACCGGGGGGGGTCCCCCCCCCCAGTTCATCATGGAAAGGTGGGGGGTCACTACCGGTTCGAGATCTCCCCCCCCCCACCCGTCGAAAACCGGGGGGGGTCACTACCGGTTCGAACCCCCCCCCCCCCTCGAAAACCGAGGGGGGTGCGGACAGTGGTGGGGACAGTGGTGGTGGGGACAGTGGTGAGGGGACAGCGGGATAGTGGTGGGGACAGTGGGACACTGGTGGGGACTAGTGTGGGGACAGCGGTGAGGACAATGGTGGGAACAGTGGGGACAGTGGACAGTGGTGGGGACGGTGGTGGTGGGGACAGTGGTGTGGGGACAGTGGGAGGTGGAAACAGTGGGACAGTGGAGGGTACAGTGGTGGTGGGGACAGTGGTGAAGGCGGTGGCGAGGACGGCGGTGGGACAATGGGACAGAGGTACTGTGGGGGCAGTGGTGGGAACAGTGGGGACAGTGGTGGGAACAGTGGGACAGCTTAGTGGGACAGCGGAGGAGTCAGTGGGACAGTGGGGACAGAGGGGATAGTCGGGCAGTGGTTGGGGCCGTGGAGAAAGTGGGGAGAGTGGAACCGTGGTGGGAACAATGGTGGGGACAGTGGGGACAGTGCGACAGTGGTGGGAGCACTGCTGGGGACAGAAGGGACGGTGGTGGAACCAGTGGGGACAGTGGTGGTGAGGACAGTGGTGCTGGGAACAACAGTGGGGGATGTGGCGCGGACGGTGGTAGGGACCGGGAGTCGTTTGCTGGCGGTGAGTGGGGGGGTGGGGAGAGGTTCGAACCGGTAGTGACCACCCCCTCCGGTTTTCGAGGGGGGGGGGGTCGAACCGGTAGTGACCCCCTCCGGTTTTCGAGGGGGGGGGGGAGGGGTTCGAACCGGTAGTGACCCCCCGGTTTTCGAGAGGGGGTGGGGGAGGGGTTAGGGGAGGGGGGTTTTGCCGGGGAGGGGAGGGGGGGGGGAATCCAGCAGGGGAGGGGATTTTCGGAGGGAGGGGGGGGACCCCCGGGTTCCGTAGGAAGAGGGGGGCAATTTTCCGCAGTAAAGCGGCGGTGGATCACGCTCTCTCTCTCTCTCTCTCTTTTGTCTTTCTCTCTCTCTCTCTCTCTCTCTCTCTCTCTCTCTCTCTCCATCATCATCATTATCATCATCATCATCATCATCAACATCATCAGCATCATCATCATCATCATCGCCATGTTCATCATCATCATCATCATCATCATCATCCTCATCATCATCATCATCAACATAACATCTGCACCAGCATCATGATCTCCATTTGCAGCTTCATCTTCATATTCATATTATCATCATCGTGGTCGTCACCATCGTCACCATCACCATCATCCTCATCACCATCATCATCATCTTCATATGCAGCTTCACCTTCATTTTCATATTTCCATCATCACCATCGGCATCATCATCTTCATATTCATTTTCATCATCGTCATTCTCATCATCGTCAGCATCGTCCTCTTCCTCGCCCTTTTCCTGCTCCTCCTGCTCCTACTCCTGCTTCTCCTCCTCCTCCTCCTCCTCCTCCTCCTCCTCCTCCTCCTCCTCCCCGTCCCCCTCCACCTCTTCCTCCCCCTTCTCCTCATCATCATCGTCATCAACATCATCTGCATCAGCACCAGCATTCTCATCATCATCTTCATCACCATCTTCATCGCCATCGATTCAGCACCATCATCAGCACCATCATCATCAAAACCACCGAGGCTCCCATTCAGGAGGAGCACGGCTTTGTGCGCACGAAGGCCTTTCTTTCGCCTGCGCCCGCGCCACGGGGTCGCGCCCCGCCGATGACGACGAATGCATGCCAGCTGCTGCGGAAGGTCCTGGCCCTGACGCACGAGGACATCTTGCAGCCCGCCCGGTTTCTGGAACGTTCCCCGGCATACAGGAGTGGCGATTGGTGAATTCATTGGCGCAAGGAGACGAAGACCACCCGCCTTTTTCTCACCCTGACCGGCGACCTGCCCATATTCGAGAAAGAACCGAACATCATGCATTCATTAACTTTCCTTGGCAGCCTGGAGCATGTAAGAAAATGAGTACTGAATTGTCGATTTGCTGGGTGAGCGCCTCCGTATTACAGACGCGTCCCGCATCACGTGTGGCAGGACGAGGAGGGACTTGGACAAAGGCCCGCTGAAGTTGCGCATCAGTGTGGCCTATTTCGGACCTCGACCGCGAGCTCCGAAGGCGCGTCACTATTGGCGCAAAGGATGCGAGATTCTACGGGAGTGGATCGACGACCACGTTCGTGGATGCGCCTTTTCGATTGGTATTTTCTATCATGTACATGACTCGGCTTTCGGGGACAATTTCAGGTACATGATGACATCGTCGGCAAGTGTGAACGAGAATGGCCGTGCGCTCCACGAGTTTGTGTGTACGCACGGATTGGCAGCACGTAGTACTCACCAGAAAGATGGGCCCACCGATACTGGACACCACGGCGCGAGTACAATCGACTACATCATCGCCCCCATGTATCAGAGGCCGCATGCCGACGTCGGCTGGCAGCACCAAGGCGCGCACGTAAGAGCATATACAAGTTGGACCACATCCCGATCGCCGGGCACTTTTACATGCCGCGCCCTGGTCACGACAGCACCGTACGTGCGAGCTGGAAGTCGCCATCGATATGGAAGTGCTTGGAGGGCGGACACGGCCTTGAGATTTGCTGCGCTGCCTTCATGAGTCGTTGGAGCACACTAAGTTCCAGGAGGTGCGCGCGGATCCGAGCCACGACAGAGAAATGCACCTCTTCGTCGCTGTCAGCAAGCAGGTCGCTTTCAGGCATTTCGCAGGCTTTCTGAGCGCCCTGCGTGATATAAAATTGTTACGAGGAGGAGATTGGATCTGCCCAAGAAGCTTGGCGCCTCCAAGCGCTAGGCCTTCGGCGTCGACGTCTCGGGCGCGGCGAGCGGCGAGGTGAAGGAGCTTGCCAAATAACTGAATCAACATCTTCGGACTGTCCGTGGGCGACTGGAGCGCGCCCCCAGACAACATATGTGAAGGGCGAGTTCAGCGGCGACTGGCAGATGCGAATTTAGCAGCACGCCGACGCGCACATAGAGGGGCCGGGATGCGTACAAGAGATTACCGGTCGCTGCCATCATGCCATCCATCTCATGCTGAAGGGGTCTCTGCATTGCCCCAGCCCTTTTGCGACGGCGTTTTGGCCGCCACCTTCGATCTGGGCGGGGCCATCAAGATTCCGCCCCCGACCTGATCGCCCACTGGCGGCGGCTGGCATGCAGGGCCTCTCTGCTGGAGGTCAGGATGTTCCGCTAGTCGACGACGTCTGCGGCGCGCGAAAAAGCGCGAGCGTTCCCCGCGCTCGAGCGCGGCGACAGAGATTTTTCCGATCGTGGCGAACCCTTTTGTCTAAGGCCCCCTGGGGCACAGACGGCTGGACTCGGCCTGTTCGCCGCGCTTGGCCCGGCGGGCCCCGGGGGCCTCCTGGGCCCGACGGAGCGGAAGCCGAAGCTCGACCGCGTCGCGAAGCCTACCGCGCCGCGGGCGGAGATGCGCGCGCTGGCGCGAGCATCTGCGCGGGCCCCATGGCTGGGCGAGCGCGGGCCAGACATTCGCGTTGGAGAAGACGAAAGATGTTCTCGGACCACCTGGGCTTCCTCCCTTGCGCTCCTTCTGCCCAGTGTGGCGCGGCTTCTTGGGGCGCGCCGTGGACCGCGAAGAAGGGGCCTTTCGAGCTCTTGCGCGGGCGTGCGGCGGCACCCAAATGAGACGGCGCGAGGCCGCGATGCGCCCGTCGAGACCTGTCGCGCGTCGAGCGCGAGCGCGCTGGCAGGCGCGTGGTAGCCAAATCGCACGATCAGTGATCTGCGGTCCAAACTGACAAAACTCGATGGTCTTCTCGTGGTTTCTGAGGCCAAAACGGTTCAGAACGAAGAGGGAGATGAAGAGGGCGACGACGCCGGATTCGCTCGTATACAGGGCATTCTTGAGTTCATTCAACAGCGACGGTTAGCAGCAGCCACAATAATTCTTTACGCTTCGCGCATCCCCACCAGCCCATCTCACAGCAGCAACTCCCGCGAAGCATGCCGACAGTCGTGTTTTTCAGGCGTGTGTCCGCTTGGCCCCGCATATCTCCCCTGTTCCTCCTTCCCCCCGCCTCCTTGCACATCCTCCTTGTGGGGGGGGGGGGGGGCGGGGAGGCGAGAAGGAGGAGGGGAGAAAGCGCTCCTCGTGGTTTGAGTCGTTTGGGGTTTCTCGTCCTGGTCTGAGTCGTTCGGGCCCTTCTTCCTGGCGTGAGTCGTTCGGGCTCTTCGTGGTGTGAGTCGTTCGGGCCTTCGTCCTGGTGTGAGTCGTTCGGGCTTCTCGTGGTGTGAGTTGTTC